CTCCAGGTATCCACCCTCAGCTTCCACTTGAGAGGTATTCAAACCTTTCCACCTTTTTTCTCCCTTTCTCTAATACACGCAGTCTATAGTTCCCTCGATTACCTTTGCCACTCCAGATCCAATCAACTCCTCTGCCCTTTATTGTATCTATAGCAACTATCACTCCATATTTGGAGAACTTACTCCATTCTTGACCCTGGCAACAATAGCATGAAAATGTAATAAGCTCTACGAAGAAAGAGTTTGGGGGATGTTTTGTGTACTGTTGGAACTCCCAGCATCTCAAACAACCCCTGGCCATTAAGAAATGCCCAATAATTCTTTGTTGAAAAGATGAGTAAAGGAATGAATGACCAGACCACAGTTTCCTTCTTGATCCCTTGTAGAACAGGTGTTGTTCTTGCCTAGCCTGCATCAATTCTCTCTCTCTGATGACACACTCAGGTTTCCATTGGGGGAACTCTCTTCAATCCATACTCCATCTTTTTGCAAAAGGCAAGCAAGATGTCAGGACCTCCTCTGAAAAAGGAGGCAGGCAGAAATCCAGAACTAGTCATTAGAGATATTTCTCTCTCTGAATGCAGAGAGGGACTGGTTCAAGGATAAGACCTTTATAGGAAATGTTACGAAAAGGAGTTCTTGTTCCATTAGTATTGCTAACCATAAGGATGTTTTAAGCCTCTGAATGCTAGAGACCTTTACAAGGAAAACACCCACAAAGAAAGGAAGCCAATCCAGGCAGAGGCACACAGACCTAGTCAAGCTGAAACCCAGAACTAAGTCCGGACGTTCCAATGACTCTAGCCTATAAATTCCAATTTCTGCAGCAGTACTATTCATCCTGGGTTTTGTTATATCTTCCAGAACAAGTCCTAATGGATACATGTACCTCCTGACCTTCATCTGGGCAATCCCCAACTTGAAGATTTCCCAACCATCACTGACATTTTTCCCTTGAGTACCTCAGCTGTCTGCAGGTACGAGTCCCTTCCATTGTAAGGTAGCTTCATTACCTGTTGGGGATTTTTTTCAACAATCATTCTACATACTTTGAAGAGATGCTCGTGACACAGGCCATCCACAAAACTGACCTTTAGTCTGTGAAAGTTTATCTCCTTTACAGGCCCACAAATTAGCAAGGGATCAAAAGCCCAAATGCTGACATGATTAAGGTGGACTAATTATCACCAGGAATAAAAGCAATGTCACCCTAGTCAGTCCACTTTGGTGGTTTTTGAAAGAAACGTGAGCCTTTTCTACAAAGGGATAGAGCTCTGCTGAAAACTCTGAAAGTCTACCTGACTTAACCAGAGCACACATCCCCCCAAGAAGGGATTTGAGCACAACACTCTCGCCTGTATTAGGAGCTGTCATTTCTCATCATCCCGTGTCTAAATTTGTTCAAATGTTTTCACTAATTTTCAATCATCCGGTAAAAGTATTCTAGAAGAGGTAAGATACCGAAAGGAACTCTAACGTAAGCGCAAGCTCATGTCCTACCAATTTAACAGGCTTGAAAAGGTCTTTCCGAGTTGAAAATAAACAGATGACTTCAAATTTCAGCAACAGAAAAGAGCAGGGCCAAAATAGCACACTGATGCACTAAGCAGTACTCATGACTGAGCGCAGGTATTTTTGGCCTCTTCATTTACAAAATCAAGACAGTGCTAATTCCCTTCCATGGCAGTGGAATGTACCTGCACTTGCCTTACCTTTGGATAAGCATCCCATCTGGGGGAAACAGGCACGCTGCCATTCAAGTGGCAAGAGAGAACGCTTGTGAAGGTGTAGCAGACTCGCCATCAAATAGTCCCCCAGAAAAGTACGGGACGGTGCTCCCTTCATTCTTCTTAATTCGAACCTAAGTCTTCATGAAATCATTTCTAAATTACAATCCTTCTCTGTTCCCCATTCCAAACTTCTTAGGCAAGGCAGGCATTAACATTTTTTTAGGTTTACTTACTTATTTTGAGAGAGATAGAGACAGCACACGTCGGGGGGTGGGGGGTGCAGAGAGAGAGAGAGGAAGAGAGAGAATCACAAGCAGGCTCCATGCTGTCGGCACAGACTCCAATCCGGAGCTCCAACTCACGAAACCGTGAGATCAGGACCTGAGCTGAAACCAAGAGTCTGACACTTAACCAATGGAGCCACCCAGGTGCCACAGGCATTAACATTTTTATTTATCAACATTAAAATATGATAAACTTTATGTATCGTGTGAAAAAATGTATTTAGTTTCTCAGCTTCTGCCAGTTGTAGTATTACTCTCAGAGCACAGCCGTGACCACATATCTGAGAGACAGAAAAATCTGCAACTTCTTAGCCAGTGGGATTTTATTTCCTGCTTGTGAGGGTGGAGTGGACCTTGGGACCGGATGAGGAAGCCAGAAAACACTAATCCCCAGCTGCACCTTAAGAACCTTCCAGCAAAATAAGTTTTAAAATTTTGTGCTGTCTGAATATTCCATAACTGAATCACAAGCCCAGTATTCTAGGTAACAATTTAGAGTTTGATAACAAGGGGTGAGACAGTACTGAAAATACAACGAATGAAGGAATTCATTCCATCAAAACAGGTGGTTAGGCCGAGGAGAGCTCATTTCGACAATGACGTTTTAACCACACAGGATGGGCAAGCCACTTGACCTCTCTGTGCTTCAGGCCTCGCACCTATGAGAGAGGAATAGCAATCGTGGGTAGTGCTGGTCAGTCCTCCACGGTCACCGTCAGTTTTTGTTTTTTTGTTTTTTTCCCCCACTGTCAGTTTTAATTTGATATTCAGGGCTCTCAGGACCGTGCCTGGGTATACACTAAGTGCTCAATAGTAGCCCCTCTTAGCTTTATTAATTTAGCAACAAATCACATTTGTTTACATTTGCTGTAAACATAAATAAATGTATATTTACAGCACAAGGTCATAGTTTCCCTGAGAAATCTACAGCTCAATCTTAGGTGGTTCAGGTGAGTTCATGCAATCTCTCAGATGTCCCTCCACTTAAGGTTTTCCTTCTAGGACTTTGAGCATCAGCCGCAATAGACGTCTCACCAGATATGTGTCAAAGTATGGAAAAACATTCCTGGTACTTTGCTTACAATTTGTGGACTGAGACTGTATACTTTAGAACATGTACACGTATTCCATTTCACAGTGGGTCTCAAACTCAGCTGTGCCCTTTTGCCATCCACTGCAGACCCATTTTATGGAAGAGCCAAGTGAAGATAACAAGAGAAACACATCCACTCTATGGAAGCCCTCATGACATACACCATAGCTTAAATATACTTCTTTTCTTTCTTAGCAACCATTGCGCTCTGTGCGTTAGAGCTCAGGGAGCACGTTACAAAATGCCTTTAACACCAAAGGGAATTTCAGTTAGGGAGCAGGGGTGGGGCCATCTGGGCCCCCAAAGGTAGAGATAAACACTAGTCATGTAAGTAAAAAGAAAAAAAAAGTTTTTAACCAGAGCCAGGGTATTGTCAGTAACAGCACATTCCAGAGGAAAAGACTGCAGAGTCAAGCTTAAACATTTATTTTTCAAGATTATACTCTGGCAAGGCAGAGGTTGACAACTCTCCCAAAACCATCCCTTGATGAATTTAAAGGGCTTGAAATCAGGCAATTTGATTATTGTGGGGCATGAAGCTGGCCTTTTGCAAAAGGGAGGTTCATTCTGTCATAGAGTCACAAAGTTCTTCAAACGGGGAGGCACTTAAATTCACCTTAATCTGGTATCCAGACTTGCACTGCAGTCAAGACTGTTGTGAGCTGAGAACAGAGCCTGTGTAAATGATGATAGCTGATGATGACAAAGAGTCAGCTTGTTCCTATACGAAGCCACTCACACAACAGGAAAATTCACCCCTGCCTGCTCCCGATTACAGGAGGTCAGCAGTTGTAAGAAGCATCCCAATGACAGGGACACTAATACAGAAAAACTGTGTATCATAAATACAGTGGGTCTCGACCCAAGGTTGTGTGTTCCCCAGAGGTCATCGGAGAGATTTTTGATGGTCACAACTGGGAGGCACTACTCCTAGCATCTAGTGGGTAGAGGCCAAGGATGCTGTTAAACCTCCCAGAATGAACAGGACAGCACCCACAAAATGTTATTAGCACTGAGGTTGAGAAACCCTGATATTACGGATGAAATATGGCTATTTTGTTTGCTTCTGTTTCCCAGGCACACAGCAGTTGTATTAAGTTAGTGTAAGGGAACTAAGGGAAATATAAAAAGATAACCCCAGATTTGAGGCTGCCACTGAAACTCCTGCTTCTCGAGTTCTCCAGTGTCTACACTGGGACTGGTGATGATCTCTACCCCATCAGCTAAATATCAGCTATCCAACTGTGTCATAGTGGAAGTCTGCCCATTTCATTCATTCTTTGTTTAAAGGGACTCACACATTGGGGCATCCGGGTGGCTCCGTTGGATTAGAGGCCGACTCTTGATTTCAGCTCAGGTCATTATCTCATGGTCATTACTTTCAAGACCTGCGTCAGGATCTACGCTCACAGCATGGAGCCTGCTTCGTATCCTCTGTCTCTCTCTCTCTCTGACCCTCCCCTGCTCATGGTCGCTCTTGCTCTCAAAAAAAAAAAAAAAAAAAAAAAAAAAAAAACAGGGGCGCCTGGGTGGCGCAGTCGGTTGAGCGTCCGACTTCAGCCAGGTCACGATCTCACGGTCCGTGAGTTCGAGCCCCACGTCAGGCTCTGGGCTGATGGCTCAGAGCCTGGAGCCTGTTTCCGATTCTGTGTCTCCCTCTCTCTCTGCCCCTCCCCCGTTCATGCTCTGTCTCTT